GGGGTGAGCGGGGGGGTGGGCGGGAAATGTCGACTCGGGCGGCCCGGGCCACGGTGGAATCTGGGCGAGAGCGGGTGGGCTCCTCCTGCTAGGGCCCAGTGGAGGACGGAGGGGCCGCAGGTCATCGATGCCTCCGGCCCCCGAGCCCCTGAGCCCTGAGCCCTGAGCCGCTGTCAGCGGGCGGGCGGGCTGAGAGACAGCTGGGCAAAGGTCCTAGCGGGGTCCTGGCGTGGGGAAGGAACCTGGGCCGGTGCAGCCTGGACTCGTGAGCGGGGCTAGAAGTGGTGCTGTCACCCTGCGGGGTTGGGAGGTGGCCGCCCAGCTGCAGGGCCAGTTTGGGTCACGGCAGCAGTCCAGGAGCCGTGAGGTGAGAGGTGAACCAGTACCTGTGGAGTTAGGATGTCTTAGAGGTGGAGACGATGGGGTCAAGAGTGGTGAGTGAGAACCACCAAGATGGGGTGCACCTTGGGAACAGCAAGTGTGCATGTTAGCAAGGTGGGTCTACAGGGTGGCCCTGGTCCATCAGGATGTCCAAGGCTGGACATCCGAGTCAGGGGGAGTCGTCAGGGAGCGGGGAGCACTCAAAACTATGATGGGGCAAGATCGCTCAGGGACTGAAAAGAGAAGGGGTCCCCAGAAGAGGAAGAAAGTCTTGAGAAGGGACCCTGGCCCAGGAGTCCAGGCCTGACCGCTCTGGATAAACCGCAGTGGTGGCCCAGAGTGGGAGGACACACATGGCCACCCACGGCCACTGGCAAAAGCTCCCTCCCAACAGTTCTAGGACAGAGAGCCCCTAGCCCCCTCTGAGAGGGGAGCAGGAAGGATGCCCAGTCCTGAGAGAGGCTGCTCCCAGAGGGGCTGGACGCCCCCAAGCAGGTCAGCCTCCGGACAACTGAGTTTTGCGGTGTGGACGTGGAACGGTCCCCGCTGGATTTGTTAACAAGCAGGCCGTGTAAGCTCAGGCCCAGGCTAATACTTGTCACGGCTGGATGTGAAACCTGCATCTAAACCACAGGCCTGCTGCTCGCTGGCTGTGTGACCTTAGCTGGTCACTTAACCACTCTGAGCTTCTGTTTCCTAGTCAGCATAACGGAGATTGTGATATCGTTGTCGTAAGGTCTGAGGGAGTTAATCAGTCCTTGGAACAGACTAAGTTCTGATCTGTCAGTGCTCGGCCTTTCGCTGGTGATTTCAGGGGGACGTCAGGGGAGCTGCAAATTTGGCTTGGCCTGAGAAAGAACAGTTTCAGCTGGGTGGGGGCTTGGCCGGCCATCTCTGCCCTCGGGTGTGTCGGGGTGGCTGTGTCCGGCACAGCATGGGCCTGGGGCTGAAGTGAGAAAGGCCTGGAGTATGTTTATTTTAATTTGTTTGTTTTGAAAGTAGATCTTTCTTTACTTACCCTATCTTTAACTCCTTACAAGTCAGTTAAAGGCCCTTGAACCTGAGTCTTGCTGCCCAGGCCCACAGGCGGTCTGCCTAGCTCTGGCCTTCCCAGCATGAGCTAGTGGCACAGGGGCCGGCAAGCCTGCTCCAGGACACGGGAGATTCACTCGCTAGGCTCGGCTTCACTCCAGGCCATAACTGGAGTTTCCCGAAAGTCTCGTGTTTGAGCCTAAGAGTTTGTGGAAACGTTGCCTTTTCTGTAGCTCCGTCGTGCCCACCCAGCAGCATGTGATGTTAACTCCTCCCAAAGGGGCAGCTTAACTCGGATGCCCAGGAAGCTGCTCCGGGCTGTCCAGGCCCCGTGCCTGCAGCTGGGCACTACCTTGCCAGACTGCTCCTGAGCTTGGATGACGGCTGGTTCACGCCCCTGAACGCAGGGCCCAGGGAGGTGGGGGACGGGACACCTGCCTGCGTCTGTCCATCCAGCACCTGGCCGGTGTCGGGTGCACAGCTGGTGCACTATCAGTGGTCACTGTGCTTCCAGCTGCGCCATCAGAATCGAGTTGTCTTCAGGCCCTTCCTGGAGGCAGCGGCCTCCCGCCAGTCTCCCCGGCTGTCCCCACACAGCCCCAGGCAGTCTCAGCCAGAGCCTCCGTCACCCAGTCATCTTCACATTCCAGAGTCCAGCCCGGGCGTCGGGCCTCCCCGGCGAGCTTCCCAGGTCCGGGGGAGGCACACACGCATCCTCTCTAGAATTTAGTCAGTGGGATTGGTGTTTTGTCCAGGTGTTATTACCCTAGAGGCTGCGCCTCTGGGTGGTGCCTCCCTCGGTCACCTTTTCCCACCTGTCTCCGTCCTTGGGGCCCTACTGAGCCAGGCGAGGACTCCATGTCTGCTTTGACCACGTACTGCTTTGCCTGGAGTTGGTCTTTCTCTTACTTGCTTTGTGATCTGGGAATGTAACCGCCACACCCGGGCACCAGCTCTGCCACACGGCGGCTTCGAGCTGATCAGAATCCCCAGCGCCCCTCTCTCCACAGCTGGCACTGTGGCCCTGCGTTTAGGCTGCCTCCAGCTCCTGACGGAGACCTTGCCTTCCAGTGGTAGAGCCACCCTTCTGCTCCGAGTCACAGTGCTGGAGGCCGGGGACCTCTGTGTGTCTCCTCTCCAGTCCCAGTGGTGTTTACTGTCAGCCCCACCTTACTGTCAGGGGACACACACACCCCGTCCCCTGCTCCAGGCAGAACTCAAGACCAGCCTACCGGCTGAGGGACCCCTCTGGCTGGGGCCCCGGGGCCTCCCGCCTCCCAGGCTGCCACGACCAATCAGCGCAGCCACGCTCTGGTATTGGGCAGCCGGTTCCGGGCGTCCAGCCAGACTCGTGTCCTCCAACCAGACTGTAAGCCTGAGGGAGAGGGAGACCTGGTTCTGGAAGCTTCAGAAACAGCCTAATGCCCAAGTCAGTGCAGTCTGGGCAGTCTGGACGCTGACCCTGGATTCGGCCGGAGTGGCTGCTAGCTTGGCGTCCCCATGTGTCCTGCCTTTTGGGGAGGCCGTGAAGGGAACAGAGTGGCTTGCCGGAGAGCTGGGAGCCCCTGGGCTGGGCTGGTGGGTTGGGCGCCTGTCACCGGCTGCACTTAGCGCTCAGGTTCCGGGAGGAGGCTACCTGCACACTGGCCGAGCGAGGGCAAGGCCTGGCCGGACGCAGCTGGTGTTCTCCGCTGAGACAGCTTGGTCACAGAGGCCCCGACCCCCGAGCTCCCTGTGGGGTCCCACACTCACTTCCTCTGCCCTTTACAGGTGGAGACGCACCCCAGGGGAGTAGCACTGGGGGACGCCAACCTGAGGGAGCCCAGGCACAGGGACTCCAGCGAGGCGCTCGGGCTGGGGCTGGGGCTGGAGAGCCTGCGCGTGTCTGCAGGGGCAGACGGCACAGCGGGCGCCATGCTGAGCAGAGCGCAGGCGGAGCGGGGGCTTCTCCACGTGTGGCAGCCTGGGGGTCGAGTCCGAGGCTTCCGAGGCGCACAGTGGCTTTCCTGCTAGAGTGGAGCCCGGGCCCCGAGCTCCCCCACGGGGCCACTGTCACTGCCACGCTCGCCTCCCGGGCAGCCTGAGTTGACACAAGCGCATCCGTATTTGGGTCCCTGGCACGTCACTCGTCTTTGTGGTCAACCCACTGAAGAAATGGATTTGGATCAACTGGACCTGAACCCCAGAATTATTGCTGCAATTAAGAAAGGTACGTTGCTTGACGTGTATGCACAGTAGGTGTGTAGTGTCGGTGTGCACACATGCGCTTCATGCAGAACAGGTGAGCAAGGCGCCTTCCTCGCCTGGGTCCCGCTCTGCTCAGCCTTCCGGACGGCTGGCCTTGCTCCGTGCACAGGTGCGGGACCGCGTGCGGGCTTGTCCGCGTGGTTGACCGAAAGGGCTTCTCTAAAGCTCACTTTCTGTTCACCCGCCTAGCCCAGGCGCAGTGTCTAGAATGTGAGCGGACTGCTCGCCACTTCGGGGTGTCGGCGGCTTTGCGTTTGCACCTGGTTTGTAAGTCGCGTGCTCGCCCTCACAGGGTCCCTGCAGGGGCGAGGGCTGGCACCCCACGCGCCCTGCCTCCTCCACCCTGCCCCACAGTTTGGGTTGCCTCAGCTGTCAGGTCTGTGAGTGGGGACCTAGAGGCCATCTCGGAAGCGGAGGGGTGGCGACCACCTTCGGCTTCCCCAGTGAATGCTTGTCCACGGGCTGCGCTATCTGTGTGCTGCTCGCTGATCTGTCCCTCGTCCTCCAGTCTGTCTGTCAAGCACCGGTGGCCCTTTCCTGAAGCCTCAAAGGGAGGGACAGCTCGCCCATTCCGTGTGCTGGCGCATCCACCTGCAGGGGCCGGGCCCCCGCACAGCCTGCGTCCTGCGTCACCTCCCGCCTCCCCGTGCCGGGGCCGGGGCCGGGGCCGCAGCATGCGGTGACGTCCTGCACGGGCAGCGTGTCCCGCGTCCTGGGCTGTCGTTTCCTCGAAGGGCGTCAGGAGTCCCGTCTCCCCTCCCAGCCAGTCTGAGCGCGTTTGTCTTTTCACTGATGCATTCGGGGCGTAGGTATTTCCGGAAAGTCCTGAGAAATTGGGCTGGCCGGATGTAGCTTTCGCATACTTCTTATTCTGTTAGTTGGAAAGTAATGCATTTATACAAGTCCCGAGTTAATTTGGTCACCAAATTACCACACTG